TTGTTCTAAGTAGGTGCTTTAGACCACTGAGCCATCTCACCAGCCCCTGTATATGTTTAAACAAGAGCACCAGCATATATTCACTTATGTAAACAAAAGATTCTGAGGATTACAGAATAAACCTGAAATATTGTTTAAAGATGTTGAAGAAATTGATCTGGGGCAGGAGAGATAGCTCCGCAGTCTAAGCACCTGCCTGACAAGTGTCAGGACCTGGGTTCCATACCCAGTACTGCATGCTGTACTGGTTCCGCTGTACCGGCCACTGAAACTGGGTGTGGTGGTGCATGCCTGTAATCCTAGCACTGGGGAGGCTGAGACAGGAGGATCACTACAAGTCTGAGCTGCGTACGAGACCCTGTAAAAAAAATTTTTTTTTAGAAAAGACATAGAATTAAGCTGGGAGGAGAGATTAAATGCCTGTAATGCCAGCTAGTTGGAGCCTGAGGTAGGAGAATCATGAGATCACAAGTTCAAGGCCAGCTGGGTATCTTAGTGAGATACTGTTGCAAATTTTATAAATAAATAAGCCAGCAAGCTTGAGGATATAGTTTAGTAGAGCACCCCTGAGTTCCATCCCTAGCAGCACTGAAAAAGGAGGGAGGGAGGGTAGAAGGAAGAAGAGAAAGAAGGAAGTTATGTAATATTTAGAAACAGTATCTGTGACAATGTATAGGGAAGAACTTTACCGGAGTCCGTTGGGAAGCTTCTTACTGTCCCTTGTGGGGCCGGGGAGATGCTCAGTAGAGTAAGTGCTTGCCTGCCAAGCTCAAGGGCCTGAGTTCAATCCCCAGTTCCACAAAAAAAAAAAAAAAAAAAACAAAAAAAAAAACACACTAGGTTGGCTTACTGTCCCTTGAGATAATTCTGTGCCTTGTCTTGTTCTAGGAATACACCATGCTGTGTCTGTTATGTGGCAAAGCTGAAGACACTATCAGTATTCTCCCTGATGATCCTCGACAGATGACTCTGTTATTCTAAGACTCCTTCTCCAGTTCTGTTGTGCCTGTGTTGGGTTGGTTTGAAATATAGCAAGCCTGATAGTTTGTCTCATAAAGGATGTTCTGTATATATTTTCTTCCTTACCTAGGCTTACATGTTCGAAAGCCTTTCTTACATGTTTAAAAGAAAACGTGATGTAAGGGATTGTTGCTCCCTAGAGCTGCGTTCTAATGCCAGAGTTCCCAGTTCACATCAGTGCAGCCAGACTGAAGCATTTTTGTTAGCAGTCATTTGGCCAGAAAAGAATTAGAATGAATGCAGCATCCAGATCTTCGTTTCTCATAAAAAGAAGCAGGGCTTCTTGGGAAAATGGTTGGGGAAATACGTATGCAAGGTGAGCCTGAAGCATCTTGGGCCTCCAAAAAATAAAATACTAAAAATTTTTTAAATCAGTGATTGAGGAGATATCAAACAAAGGGACCACTGAGGGAACGAACTCCCCTTGACTAGAGCTGGAGCCGAGAGGCCCAGGAGCACCCGGCTGTCATTTTTTCCTGTGCCAGCCTGAAGTGGGGATGAAACTTGGCTGGTCGCCAGCATGTCCCTCACCTTCCTTCCTCCCAGTGGACCGGGACAGTTTGCTTCAGTATACTTTCTGGCTAAGCTAGTGGTACCCTTACTGGCTATCAAGCCACCATTCTCCAGGCCAGCATGCGTGCAGCCCTGAAGCATGGTGGCCCTTCCCCACACCTGCCTTTCATATGTCCCTAAAGAACAGAGGGTACTTAGGAGAGGCTAAGATTAGGAAGAGGGGATTGGGCCTCTTAATTGCACGCCCCGCATTCACAGCACACTTTCAGTCCTCACCCTCGTTGAAGTAGGCCTGTAAGCTGCTCCCTAAGCAGCATTGCCCTGCCACTCCCCAGGTTCTGATCTGGAAGGGCTCCCTCCTGTGTACTGGGCCCCCAGTGCTGTAACAGAGGCCCTGTTAAAGACTTGCTTCAGTTTCCCTGTAAACTGGCTCATGATTTATTTTGGGGGTAGTGCAGGCGCC